ATCATTGGCCAGAGGCAGCCACGTATTCTCCATAGGCTTTTTGTGAGCCAGTGGCATGGATGATCACCCCTAGGTATTTAAAGGTTGTTACCTGCTCTATTTTGTGGCTATTTAAATACCATGAGTACCCTTTTGGCCTTTTTGCAAAAGCCGTAACCTTTGTTTTCTCATAATTTATGTCCAGTTTATTATATTTACAATACTGGACAAGGGCTCACAAGGCTCTTTTAAGGCCAACTGGTGACCTGAAGAGAATCACAGAGTCATCTGCATAGAGCAGCAGAGCAATGCTGCGGTCACCTATTTTTGGGAGGTGGTAATTTGGATTATTTAACCATTTTACCATATCATTTATGTAAAAATTGAAGAGCAAAGGGGCCAAAATGCACCCGTTTAACCCCCTTTTGAGTTTCAACTGAGACTCGAGAGAGACCCTTACATTTTACACCTCATTTGATGTTTGGATGTTTTGGTATGTAAGGCATGTAACAGATGGAGGAGTCTGTGATCAATTGAGGCAGCTTCCAGCTTCTCCCATAGCTTAGTCCTTGTAACTGTGTGAAAAGCTGATTTAAGATCTATAAAGGCAGTGTATAATGATACAGGTCTATCTGATGCGTATTTTTCAATCAAATGATGAAGAACTAAGCACTGATCTATAGTGCCTCTCCCCTCTCTAAACCCAGCTTGTTCTTCAGCAATCAGGTTCTCAAGATCCAGCCACTCCTTTATCTTGAAGGGGTTTGCATAGAGTTTGCTGATTATATTTAGCAGACTTATTGGTCTGTAATTGGCAGGGTCGTCTCTCTTTCCCTTTTTATAAATTGGGACCACAACTGCCAAACCCCAATCCTCTGGGACATGGCCGGTGGAGTCAATATAGATGAATAGCCCTGCCAAGATGGGTATCCACCACTCCATATTATTCTTTAGTAATTTGGCCGAAATGAAGTCAGCTCCTGGAGTCTTCCCGATCCTGAGTTGGCCAATGAAGGATTTAATTTCAGACTCTGAAACTGGAGGCCATTCAGGTAAATCTTTCATTATAGACCTTGTACCTTCGCTGGAGGGGGCTTCATACATTCTCTGAAAATGAAGTTTCCAGGTTATAGGAGATATATGACAATCTAATGGGTATAGATTCTTTCAGAGCGGCAAGCTATTAGACGCCAAAATAAGTTCTTTTGCTTTGCTGCCACGATGAGCTGTTCCCAGGAAGACCTTGTGTCTTGTCTCTTCTTGAATGCAATCAATTGCTTGAATTGTTTTTTGAGTGTAAGTAACTGTTTAAGAATTGCTTTATTGCCATATCCAGTCTCGCTATTGTACTTGTATGCCAAGTTGAGGGCTTTCTTGGCTTCTACGTAATCCTTATCAAACCACGGTTTGGAGGCGGTACAGGACCTCTTAACTGAGAAATTTCAGTCATATGCTGATAATGGTTGTAGCTCATAAGCTAAAGTTTTATATAGTTCTAATAAGTCTTGAGTCGGGTTGGCTGATATAAAGGCTGCACAGATTTTTTGAAAATTATCCTCTGTTAGGGCTCTCCTTACCTTCTGATTGGGTCCATTTGACTCGACATCTTGTTAGGCCGACTGTAGAGATTGCAAGGATAAAATGGTCCTTGGAGGGTATCTACCTGATAAAGAGCTTCATGTATACACAAAGAGGTAGATGATCACTTTCTAGGTAAGGTAGGATTTCAAGGTTTTCTATATAATGTACTAAGTCGATAGAAGTTAAGATGTAATCAATGGTGCTAGTTTTGGACCATGCTATAAATGCAAACTCGCCAGGATAGTCACAAGGCCATGAGCCATTAGATATGAAGTTAAATTTATTTGCCAACTTGGCAAGACAAAGGCATAGTTAGCTCTAATGTCTTTAGAGAGCCATATGAGGTTTATATAGGGACCTCCGATGGTGGGTATTGATGAGGCTTCATGAATAATGTATAATCATCTGGTCCCAATCTGGCATTAAAGTCTCCCCCTAATAGGACCCTGGCATTTGGGTATTCCATGAGTTGTTTATTAACGTAGTGTTCCAATTCCAGCCATACAGCAATGGTTTCAGCTTTTCTTAGTGAAGGAGGGAGATAAAAATTAATTATCAAAAGCAGGACTGAGTCCCACTTGAAGAGAAGTGCCATTGCTGAATGGTTTAAAGGGGTAATAAATGTGGACTCTGCTCTCAGATTGGTAGAAATAAATATACCCAGCCCTCCTTTCAGTCTCCCTGGGCTTCTGTCTGGCCTTGTTTCCAGCTTATATGAATAATATCCATTAAGCAGGAGATCATCAACAGTCCAAGTCTCTTGCACCAATATAATATCCTTATCTTTTAGAGGATCAGAATGATTAAGGGCTACATTCCATGATATGATGTTTAAAGTGTTTTTCTTGCACTGGCCTTCATATGGTCAGTTCAAGTTCTCCATAGGGGCACTTGTTGGAGGATAGTTATAATATTTGTTATTTGATTGTATTAGATTGATTGACTAGTTGTGGTCAATGCTTCTTTTAAACCATCCAGTCTCTGTGTATTATTAGCTTGCTCAGGTTCTGGCAATACATCGTTAAAGTCTATCAACATTTCTTCTGGTACACCCTCAGCAGAATCAGTGACTGTGGGAAACTCTGTTTGTGGATCACTTCTCTGTTTTCTCAGGGTCGATTCAGCTGCCCCTGCTTCAAACTTATCAGTATGAGGTCTGTTGCCGCTTGGATTTAAAGCCATAGTTCCCTCATGGAGAGACTGAACCAGGAGTAGGCGCAGGTTCCCTGAGTGGAAGACAGGTATTGGAAATATTGAAAAACTGCCCAGGAAGTGCTTCATTCTAAAAAGCATTGAGGGAATTATGGACTGCTTGAAGGATAACAAAATTCACATGTGTTGCCTTCTTGCTGGGAACCACTCTGCATATAATAAATCAATCTGAGTATACTTGCAGCGGAGCAGCTGGCTCAGAGATTGCTTAACAGCTTTTCTATCACTCAAAGGTCCTCTATTCTTTTTATTGTCATAGATTTGCAAGGTAACTTGGTTGGTCTGTAAACTGAGATTATAATGGTCACCTCTAGAACTATCTGACTGAGTTTTGTTTTCTTTGTGGATATTCTTTCCTCTCTCGTTTATAGAAGTGGGAGAGGGGCCTATTCTAGTTTCCATTTCTGCATTAGCCATCTTATGTCTATCATTATGTGTTCTCCTGGGTCCTTCTGCAATGTTTGTTTGACTGCTGATAAACTTTGCAAAAGACTCTTTCAAGCAGTCAACCTTATTTGTGACAATTGATAAAAGTTCGTAGGTTGAATTTACAGTTTGAGCTGTGAGCAAACATTGTCTGGAAAGGAGATCTGTTTCATTCTCTCTTAGTAAGTTTGTTACTATCCCATCCTATGCAGGAAAACTGGGTGCTGAATTCCAGGGAGGGGAGCTATTTTCTGTGAGAGAAACAGAAAGTTCTATATCAGCGGTTCTCAACCTATGGGTCGCGACCCCATTTGGGGTCGATTGACCTCTTTTGTGGGGTCGCCAAACGCGGCGATCCGCCATTTTGTCGCCTCCGGGGGTGCGCCGCGCCTCCGGGGGGCGGTGCCGCGCACGCGCGCTGCGCGTGGGGGTGGCGGTGCGCCTCCGGGGGGCGGCGCCACGCATGCGCACCGTGTGCGGGGGGGGCGCCCCATGCACGCCGTGCGCGGGGGGCACCGCGCATGCACGCCGCACACGGGGGCACCGCGCATGCGCCGCACGCGGGGGGCCCACCCCCATGCGCGCCGCGCCGCGCATGCGCATAACGTTTGTGTGACGGGGGTCGCCGTCACACAAACGTTGAGAACCGCTGTTCTATATGCTGTTTGCTTTCAGGTTCAGTTTGTAAATCACATTCCAATGAATCACATACAGATGAGTTACTGGAGCAAACTGTCTATTTGCAGCAAAATCTCCCATTTTCTTCTGCTTCAATGGCTTAGAAAAACTCTGTGCTGCCGAATAAACACGCTGTCTTTCTCCTTTTCCCCATTCTTGTAGAGTTGTTAAAATGTAGGTAAAACAATGGTAGCCTCTCCAGTATATATCCTTTATAAAAAGTCTTTATTATAAAAAGTCAAGGGTTAAAACAGATTTAAAAATAGGTTAAAATGGGTTTAAAAAGGTTAAAAATGGATTAAAAGTAGGTTAAAATGCAATGTTAAAAAGGATTAAAAAGTTAAAATAAAAATAAAATAAAATAAAGCTTTTACTTTTGGAGGACCTCTTTACAGCCTTTGTTGCCTGTCCACCATCTTGGCTCCTCCCCCTTTCTTTAGTATTTAGTATTTGATAGTTTCCAAGACAGTAATAAATGAATTAAAATTAGAGGAAGGAGACACGATAAGAAGATTGATACAATAAAGAATAAATTAAAATATCTAAATTATGGTTCAGGAGATTGAATAGCAAGAACAGAATGCTGAAAAAACATTGGCAGTGCTGACATGATTTTAAAATTCTAGTATGCACTAACTATGCCTCTTCATTTCTCCTTAAAAGACTTATTTATTAACAAACCTGAAAAACATGCCCATGTAAAATTGAACAAATGCTTACCTTACTAATCTTGATGAGAAATATTAAAATATTTCCACCTCTTTAATATATAACTGAAATATCACCAGGACCCAAGTTTAATTAATTGTCCATCTTCCGCACAAAACTACATCTTGAAGAATTTCTCTGGAATTTTTTTAAAAAAACTTTCCTCTTATTTTAGTAAATAATATTGTTACAGTGTAAACTAATCATTCTGCAAGGTGCTCATCAGATATCTATTCCAGTTGCTCTCTTCTTCATAGACAGGTGGCAATAAAAGAGAAGGGATTTTGCTCTTGGAATACTGTATTCAGAATAGACCAGACTTGTTGAGCTTTAAGTGGCATGACAAAAAAAAATTCACTGGAACTTATAATAAGATAATGCAGTCTTGTTTTTTTAAATGTTAAAGAAAAACATACCTGAAAGGGAGAAACTAATCAGCCTTCTGCTTCCATGCCCCTGGCCTGAATCTTCACTGTTGATATTTTTAAAAACCTGTAACAAAGAGAAAAGTATCAAAAACATCAATACTTTTTTTAGAGTAACATTGGGTAACAACTTAATCCAAGATACACAATCAAGGTGAAATCAATGATAAACATTCATTAAGCAACTATTGATTAAAACACTTCTGATAAATCCATGCTTTCAATGTAAAGAAGAAATAGTGGCCACAGGGGAATTTCATCCCATAGATGTTTGGAAGGCAAAATAAGGAATTACTGTAGTTTTATGACTGGAGAAGAAACTTTCTCTTATATTTGCAAATTACAAATACTTATTACAATAAGATAAATGATTGTCATACAGGTTACAGATTACTAGGTTTGAGAACAGTGGTATGACTTTTTAAAATGAAGTATAAATCTCCTGTATGGCTAACAAAATACCTAATTCATGTGTTTCTCCATAAAGACTAAAATGAGGGTTACTGCACCCAGTTTCATATCCTGAGTAGTTTTTCTTATTATTTGTTCATAAAGTACTAGATGTACACAATTCTAGCTGTCCAGCTTCTGATGATCTGAGCAGGAAAGTTGTAGGTAATTGCAAAGAAAGCATATCACCAGCCCAAGATGTCATCAATTGAAAGGCAAAAAATAGGGGGAGGGAGAAAACCATTCAGTTGTTAAATCAGCAATCTAACTGCACATTATCTATTAAAATAGTGTGCCAGATTTCACTAGATTTGCTTTGCTTGACTCAATTTATATCACATGTTGCTATTATTTGTTCTCAACAGACCTGCTTATATAGGCATTTTTTGTGTGTTTTTTTCCCAGCCATCCAATAAAGTACAAATGAAGGCCATCAAAATCAACATTGAAAAAAAAAAGTTTCCATATAGGGTTTCTGTTCTGTTTTCCGCGTTGGTAGGCATTGAATGAGGCAAATAGGTACTTCTTTATTTGCAGCTAACAGAACTCTCTACAAAATGGCTCTGCCCCTTTTTATACATTCAGCCTGGGGCGTTGTCAGCCAAAGAATGTAACGTATTGTCCCATTCAAATGCATGCTCAGTAACTCGGAGACAGCCTGTCTGGCCCGGGCAGGCCACATGGTCTGCCCGGGTCTCAGTGCAGCTTCCTGCACCTTCTCCATCAATCAAAGCCCAGGACATAACACCCGTCCCAGACGTCGCTCATGCAAGGAAGTCAAGAATCTAGTCCTCAGTGCGGTTAGGATCGCTACACTACTGCCCCACAGGACACAACCTTTAAAAGTGGATAACTCATGCTTCCTTTTCCAGAAACTCTGGAAATTAGTGCCAGGACATGTGTCAGGCCATCCTGACAGCACCCAGTTCAACAAGCGTGTTAACATGTTGTTGGTGGCTGTTTCTGCAGCCACATCCCCTGCATTGAGGGAAGACTCCGGCAAATCCTGGATAGTCAGGATGTGGTTGGCTGGAGCAGGATCCGACTCTAATAGCTGTAGAGGCAACCTACTAAAGCCGTCAGCATGGCCCATTTCCTTATCTGGTTTGTGAACCAGGCAGTACTCATAAGCAGAAAGACATATTGACCATCTCAATATTCTAGGAGAGATGATTTGGGGCGTCTGTTTGTTCGTCGTGAATAACCCCAGGAGCGGCTTATGGTCCATGAAGACCATGAAGTGGCGGCCCCACAAAAAGTCATGAAACTTCTTGATGCCAGCCACAATAGCCAAGGCCTCTCTATCTATTTGCATGTAATTGCACTCAGCAGTAGACAAGAGTCCTGGAGTAATAGGCTACAGGGACTTGTGTCCCATCAGCTCTGAGATGGCTTAAGACAGCCCCAATCCCGTAAGGGGATGCATCATAAGCTATGCTAACTGGCAACTGCTCATGAATTGAGCCAAAACAGCATTAGAAGACAACAATGCTTTGACCTCAGCAAAACTCCTTTCGTGGACTTTTGTCCACTTCCATGGAGCCTGTTTGTCCAAGAGCTGGTGTAATGGCTCTGCCACTGTGGCCTTGTGAGGGAGAAATGAATGGTAAAAATTTAGAAGTCCAAGGAAGGCTTGAAGCTCGCTCTTCAACTTAGGACTTGGGGCCTGCTGGATCACTTTGAGCTTACATTCAGCAGGATGGATGCCTTTGGTATTTATGCAAAACCCCAGGAACTCTGTGGATGTTACTCCAATTTTGCATTTCTCCTGTTTGAGCTTCAGCCCCACTTCATGGAAACGCCGCAAAATGGCCCAGAGCCTGTCAGACAGGTTTTGACTGATTCCCCAACAACGAGGACATCATTGAAATATGGGCATACACCCAGAATGTTACAGAGCGTTCGCTCCATCACACTTTGGAAAATGCCAGGGGCTACGTTTACCCTGAACTGTAGCCTTCAAACCTTGAAGGATCCCTGATGAGTCACAATAGTTTGGGCCTCTGCCATGGCGTCGTTCTCTGGCAGCTGTTGATAGGTCTGAGCCAAATCTAATTTGGCGAAAATTCAGCCTCCCTGTAGAGACGCCAAAATGTGGCTCACTACAGGCACCGGATAGGAGTGCTGCTGTAATGTTTTGTTTAGCATGCATTTATAGTCAGCACAAATGTGGACTTCTTCGTTGGCCTTAAGTGGCATGACAATGGGTGTTTCCCATGGACTACTATTCACTGGTTCCAAAATGCCTTGCTGCAGCCATTTGTACAGCTCAGCATTGATCTTTTGTTTAAGAGCAAAAGGCACCCGACGAGGCTTAATCCTGATTGGTGCAATGGAGGGGTCTAACCTTAAGGCAATTGGAGGCCCCTTTTATGTCCCCAACTCAGGGCTGAACACATCAGCAAACTCCTTGCACACCTCCGCAAGACTTGCCGATTGAAGACTGTGTAAACCAGTCACCTGAATTCCAAGCGCCTCAAACCAATTGAGTCCAATCAGACTCGTGCGGTCACTGTCAACCACGACAACATCCAAAGGGCCCTCAAAATTCCTAAACTACACCCCTAGGGTGGCTTCCCCTTTAACATGTACTCGGGAATTCTGGAAGTCAGGCAAAATAAGGTTGGACAGCCTGAGCTTAACTCTTTGGCCACTTCTGCAGCAAATATGTTTGAGGGTTTTCTGGGAAATGATTGACAGAGCTGAACCCATGTCCAACTTCATGTCAGAGGGGACCCCCTGCAATTTGACTTCAATATGGAGCTTTTTTTTCAATGGGTGGTGGGCACCCATTCTAAATACACTCCTTCTAGTCGTGCAAAACCCCACCCTGTTCTGACTGGGAACCCCGGTACCTTTCTGAGGCAACTCTTCTGAAGGTCGGTCTTTCTTGTGACCCAAACAGATGGCAGCGATGTGGCCTTGCTGGCCACAGGCCCAGCAAGTGGCGGAATGAAAATGACATTCGGTACATTTGTGGTGGCCTCCACACTCGAAACATCAAGAGAAGGGAACTGTCTTGTCAACATTTTTTTCAGCTTGCCTTTGGGGTCTTCTGTCCATAAGTTGTTACAAACGATTGACCTCATTGTCTGATTCTGGTTCTTCAACCCTCTCAGCAACCTCTTGATGGACTGTGTCCGAGCAAGGAGGGTTCTTAGAGAGCCGCAAGGCCTTAACAGCTCCACCTGCTGCTTCTTCGGCCATTATCTCCCTCAACGTGTCATGGAAGGAGACAGTTTCCTTAGCAAAAATCTAGGCTCCTCAGACCACAAACTAGCTGATCTCGTAGCCGTTCTTCCAAGTCCTTAAATTTGCAAGGCCTTGCAGCTTGACGCAGAGCAGCAATGAAATCCGCGGCAGACTTTCCTGGACACTGCTCCTGCTGTTCAAAAGCATGTCGCCAAGCGATGACCGACAGCTTCGGCTCAAAATGCTCTTTGAGCATTATTTTAAGCTCTGCGTAAGGAATGGACTCCAAGGGTGCTGGAGCAACCAAGTTTTCAACGATGTCAAAAGTCTCTTGACCACAAACACACAGCAATGTCACGGCCTTCAGTCTGTCTTCCCGAACTTGGTTGACTCTGAAATAATTTTCCACCCTGGTAACGTAAGAGCTCCAGTGTTCAGGATGCATGACGTTGAATTCAGAAACACACCCGATCTTTGCTATGGTAAATTTTGGTGGCTTCTTTCAATGCCTCGTGCTGCGCAGGCTTCCAAAGGGGTTCTTTGTACTGGCAGGCAAAGTGAAAGGAAGTTGGAATGCCGCACTTCTAAGCGCTTGCAGGTCTTCCATGGTGAGTCAGCCTTTGAATCTTCTGCAGCACGATCCCACCTTTGTCACCAATGTTGTTTTCTGCATTGGTAGGCATTGAATGAGGCAAAGTAACAAACAGGTACTTCTTTATTTTCAGCTAACAGAACTCTCTACAAAATGGCTCCACCCCTTTTTATACATTCAGTCTGGGGCATTGTCAGCCAATGAATGCAACATATTTTCCCACTCAAACGCATGCTCAGTAACTCGGAGACAGCCTGTCTGGCCCGAGCAGGTCATGTGGTCTGCCCAGGTTTCAGTGCAGCTTCCTGCACCTGCTCAATCAATCAAAGCCCAGGACATAACAGTTTCTTCAATGCTAAATAATTTATAAAATAAGGAGGAGCCAGAAGTACCTTTTCCAACTAACACATTTTATTTAAAGGAATAAAGGAATAAACTGCAGCTCACAAAAGCTTCTGCCTTTTAATAACACTCAGAAAAAATGCTACTACATTCCTTCTGATATTTTTTTTGCCACCACAATCTAAGAACGTTATGCTCTTATAATGTTTATAAAATATCAGTACCTATTTTGGCCAAACATTTATGCCAAGCCATCATTTCAATGATATCCACTCTAAGTAGGTACTAAGTTGGACTGTGTTGTACTGTAACCCAGTATTTTCTCATATTCTTTGCAAGGCCAATAACAATTATTACTAGTATAGGTTTTGTGACCAGAGAATTTCAGCAAGTGGTAGCATTTCTCTGACATTAAGCAGGGTCAGACCTAATTTGTATTTTAGGAGCGAAATTCACAAAATTTTATCTGGGGCTTCTAGGCCTATCAGCTT